GGCTAGAGGGATGCGAGTCGCATTATGTTTTTCCTACAGGATTTTTGTGAAAAAATCCAACCATAGTGTTGGTGATCTTTATGCTGTATAGTTAAGATTCTAAATGTATGCTGTTTAAAAACCTCGCTAATGATAGATTCCAGCCGTTCCATGTAAAATTCAGTATACCCGTGGATGTGCCATTCCGAAAATCACGCTAAATTTTAGAGAAAATGTCATCCCTCTTAGGGTTGTAATTGAATTTTTTTACTCGGTGTATGTGTGGAGACAATTGCTACGCTTAATATACAGAAGGAAACATTGTTTGCAGTTCTTTCATGATTAGGTCATTTTTGTCGGAATTACGTCTGCCATCTATCTTTATTAAATAAAAATGCTATGTGACAAGAAATCCAACACCTCAGATCCGCTTGTTTCTTCCTTATGTTCAATATTCCTCTTTACGCCAAAGGTTCTTTTCAAAGCACGAGATTTGTGTCTCTTAGCAGTCGTTGTATGGTTGCTGTATTTACGTTTGCTTCTAACCTTTTCTATAGAAAACGGTTACGATGATTTTCTTCGTATTTTTGTTGAGCAAACGCGAGGTGTTATTATTCTTTGTTCACGATTAAGCTGACTTTAATGTATAGTAGTATAGTATAATTCATTATACTTCCACGTGATTTCTATGCGGTTGGTCTCTACGTGACATACTTAGTGGAAACCTCATAGGAAGCGGCTCTGAGGAAGGCGAAATCCGCAGAAACGTCAGCTTAATCGTGAACAAAGAATAATAACACCTCGCGTTTGCTCAACAAAAATACGAAGAAAATCACTTGATCAATGCCGAGGTTAATAGAAAGTCGGTCGTGGCGGTTACGATATGATATTTCCAAGACAAGCAGTTTCTTTTGGCACCAATTCGTCGACCTCTAAACGACCGGGGCATGCTTGACCAAAGGGTGGGGAAGGACAGGGCTACTGACTTCATATATCGGTAGGCCACTGCAAATCATTATATAGGCCATATTGCTGTCCTTGTTATGCTCGAATTATGATACTAGCACTTCGTTAGAGGGATTCGGACTATTCATTACACATATGAAATTCTAGGAGATATCTTTTCGGTGGTTACTACTGTCGTGTTTCTAGCTTTACGAACTTAAGATTACCATATTTGTGGATTTTCACAGCATCTTCGGGTTATTTTTTGCCAAAATGGAGACATTCTTCTTAGTTTCTCACGGTCTCGTTGTTTATACTTTAATTACTGCCATTTTTCCCATTCACACTGTCTTTGTAGTTCGTAGCTTTTACACACACGTATTGTATATAACCTCTCTATATAAGCAGGAAATTTTCATAGAGGAAAAGTTTTATGTATAAGTTACAACAATCAAAATACGGAACAATGAAAACGTTGTTATCAGGACTTCGGTTTGAAAGAGGGCAATGTTACTTAGTGAGAGGAAGTAGGATTCTCTTATTTTTCAACTAGTACTTTGGTAGCAAATGGTTGCATGAATTTAGTGCAGTCATGTGCGACCAGTGTTTTGTTTCGAGGAGAGTAAATGTGACTGTCTTGAGAGTGACAGCTGATTTTTATTTTGAATGATGGTACTGACTCACGAACAATGTCTCAACCGTGTTGTTTGGCTGAGTCTTACATCATAGCTCGGACCATCCATCGCGAAGGAATTCTAAATGACAGTATAAATGCAACATTGCGTTCAGAAGAACTGATTGAAACTATTTAGTAAAGAAACTTAGAAATCTATTGCGTAAATCGTTTTAACTTTAAATTTATAACATAAATCGCTTATGGGGGAGGGCAGCGCGTTGGTAGTGATGCAGTCCATGGCCACGATGACTGGTTCGACGCTGACGCGAGCTCATCAAGCTTCTTATCCCTCCGAAATGTGGAAACTGATGCTAGACTTGTCTGGTAAGTTCACTTTCTGCAATCAAAATGGGAATGCTTTGGCCTGGCTATCCCAGGGCTCCATGGGAAATCGTCCTCATCCAGCAGCCGAACGCTCATACCAAAACTTCGATAGCCTTCGTGTATAATGGATGCGAGGAAATGAATCGAATGCAAGCAGTGCTGAAATCCACACGGTAGATGTGAAGAACGAGTCGTTTGAAATGAAATTTGGAAAATTTCTTACGTCGTATGAGACTTTTCGTATAATGGTGATGAAGGAGGTTTTCGAATTGAAAATCACTGCACAAATTCTCCTTTTGTCTTCCTTGCTAATCCTGACAATAAACATGGGTTTGCAGATTGTCTGGATGACCAAACTGGATTTTTTTCTACAATTTCATTGGATCCTGACAAGAAATCATGTTTCATGAAAGTAGCCTATAGATGTTGAAGACCTAAGAGCAGTTGCCAGACTAAAGAGGACATGAATGAGCTGGTGTACTTAGCTGTCGTGAAACGACCATGTCAGTTAAGAAAAGTATATGGTCTTGATTCAGCAGATTCTTTCATTTTGATCATCTTAGTCAGTTACTGTCCAATATTTTTGCAACCTTGTGATTATCTGTGTAGTCTGAGTTATAATCTTCAATTTCACCTTGTCTTGGTCTATTTATTGGAAGTATATGAGTTTCCTTGATGTTTGGTTACGTTCGGCTATTAGTTTTGAGTAGTTTCAAACAAAGGCATCTGTGTGGCTGGATTTCTTGCTATGATTTTTGGAGCCCAACAGTTCGTCTGAAGTGACTGAAATTGAAGCCAATGGAGTGTTTTGCTTCGGATTCAGCACACATTTATTGATCAGTGAATGCCGACACAACGTCGATCATTAGCTAATATGCTGGGCTTAGTTCTAGCTGTCCAGGTATTCTTTCTCCGTTTTTTTTCTCTCCCTTATCGTTTTCTTTCTTACTAGTTTTTTTGTTTTTATTTTATTTTTATTTTTTATTTTATTTTTTAAAATATTTTTGTGAAGCAGTAGTGTTTTTGTGTTTATTATAGGTTTACAATGTAGGTGAATGGCTGAAATACTTCAAAATATAAGAATGAATGCTTTTCAACTAGCATGCTAAGCACTTTTCCTATATTTTTTAGAAACTGCGGATTGTAAAGCTTCTTTTTTGGTGGCATGGAATGGTTTCCTTTGTTTAGTATTTGTTATAATTTCGTTGCGTATTTAAAGGATTTCGTTTCAGTTTTAGCGTTTTTTGAGTAATTTTCGACTTAAATGCTACTCTTCTTTAAAATTGCAACACTTCAAGGTCTTATGCGTCTGACAACATCGTCGACGGTGATGAAGAACTGCAGTTTTCTGAATTGAACTTAAGAACAGCGATAGAGTATTGTGTTGTACAGTAGGTCGTTTTGTAATGAAACGCCATTAAATGTCGACGAACAAACAGCACTTCTCTTCGTGCCAGAAAGGCCTTCATTGCTAAGTTTTTCCTTCCCAATAGTGCGCATTAGCTTCAATGCGTAGATATCCGAAAAATAGTTAACAGTGTGTTAAGGTTGACAAGTTGACAACATGTTAATCTTGTCAGTTACGGTACAGTGCTAGTATTTCGATAACAGCGGATCATTCTTTGACAACTGAAGTTCTTGTGTTGAAAACCTAACAAACTTCTGAGCGAGATTTCGCCGCCCTTCTGTTCCGTTGTTATAAAGTGGGTTTTCTACAATGTGTCGCCAATTTTGAATCTGCTTAAAACTCAAATTTTCAAAAATTTGAAAACGAAAATTGAATTTTTACACTCTGGGCAATACTTGCTATTAAATCCCTTCGCTTTTTCGAATACGAGTTACGATGAAGGAAATCAAGATTCTTTTAAGCTGAAGAAAGTTCTAATTTCAACGAGATAGATTGAAGCAGGCTCTGTCTTGTTGGCAAAAATCTGTAGATTCCATCGTTTCTCACGTAAATTATTAGCGCTCACAAGAAGCTGAAACACGTTTGTTTAAAGGTAAAAGGCCCAGTTATTTCTAGGAAACATGCATTTAAGTCAGTAGATGTTGGTGAATATGCCTTTGCCAACCTATATGTCTACATTTTTTTTCACAACTTCGTAAAATAGAGAGCGAAGGAAATCAATCGAGATGAAAAAGTGCTGGAATTTGCTTCTGTTGCCAAGAAGACGTGAGTATTCATGCTTTACTAAAACACGATCATATTTTTTGGAGATCCAGGAAGCGTCGTTAGTTCGTCGCTTCTTTTCTCAGTGGAGCCTAGTATTTTCTTAGCCGATGATCTCGCTTAATGCATCGCTTCCAATATTTGTGAACCCGATTTTTAGGGGGTTTAAAATGCTGAGGAAGATTCTCTTAATTAAATCCACAATGCTCTCAACTCCCAACTTCCTAGGTTATCAGAAGAATTTCGGCAAGTTTCAAAAAAATTGGCGAGCTCACGCCAATATGTTAACGACGATAAATGTCTTGGCAACTTTTTTTTTTAAAATACAAAACATTACTTTAGAGCTTTGAAGCATTGCTGAACATGTTGAAACTTTGACAGGGTTATTAGTGATTTTTCAAAAATCTTAGCCAAGTATTCTGGAAGGAGTTGTAGAGTAACCATTAAAACGCTGACGATATTTTTCGAAATGCAAGGCACTGCTTGGTTGTTCACTGTTCACTGGTGTTGCGGCATTCTACCCGGCAGACATTGCGTCATCTTTTGCAACTATAAACGTTTTGAAGCATGTCCTAATAAGTCTCGATTGCAAGACATCTTATGTCTTGGGTTTTCAAAGTGATGCCATGAAAGAGATTTTCTGCGAGATGAGATATCCTGTCAGCAGTATCACCTATGAAATGTTTATGAGTGATAACTTATCGATAAGCGTATTTAATGTATCCGGAATTGACTACACTTTGTTTAGTAATGTTTGGTGAACAATTTTTTCAAAAGGATTTACTTGTTGATATTTTTCATCGTGTTTTTGGAATTTCTAGAATCATATGTCTACAGTGTATTGCATTTTGCTCCTGCACTTCCTGCGATGTTTTCTTTCGTATTTTGTATAATTAGAAAGTTTAGATGAGATTTGAAAATGATAGAGCCGACGACCCATCACTAGGAAATGTTGAGAACAACGAGGTAGAACTTTGTACATTTTTATAACTCGTCATTGAAAAAGGAATCTTTGTACTCGTATGATGATTGTCCGTTTCTTATTGTCTTACCGTTTATGTAGTAAACAGAAGAAAATCATCAACAAAAAGTTTTGACAACTCGAATAGGCGTTCGAAAAAATTGGGAGCAAATATCTGTTTTTCAAAAAATCCATCCCACGATCGCAGCAGCAAACACGAATAGTATAGTGACGAACACCATCGTGTCCTGCTAGATGAGATGTTCTTCGCTGCACGAAAAACTTGGCAAAGGAAATGAAAAAAACCACTTTACGCCAGAAGTTAGAAGTATAGTCAGCAAAACATACAAAAGTTTGCTTATGGTTGGTGTTGATTTGTAGATTGTAGTGGTTTCTATTTGAATTCATAAAACTTATTGTGAGCTGGTTTATTGACGTAAACACGCCTTTTATTTTAAGACTGTGTGTGGAAATCAATTCATGACGGACCGGTAAGTGCTAAACTTAAATCTGCGCAGTTTTATCCGTATTCCATCTTCCTATCCACTGTTTTATCGTGTTTTTTCTCCTCAGAAATTTGCATATGTTACCATTATTGGTATTAATTTATGTATTGTTTTCGTTGTAGTAGCAGTATTTTGATGTTGGAACACATTTGATTTGAACTTAAAGGATTTAGAATTGATATTGGCACTTTTCAAGGGTTCCTAAAGATACATAACATCAAATACGTAAATAATTGCATGTGCTGACAAGAGTGATGACGAACTCGCTCGTTGTTGTTTTCAGTGTGAATAATGTCATCTTTAGAATTGTCAGTAGTGTCAGTAGTAATCACGTAAAAATACCTTTATTTTCCTTTGTTTTAGAAAGCGTTCTTTTTTTCAGCTCGATAATAATCTATTTCCACTTACAAACTACCTTTATATATGAGAATGAAAATGGCATAAAGATATCAACAAAAGTGATACGTTCTACGTTTGACCGTTTCTTCTAGGGTCGAATGACAGCAGCATTGGCGTTCGCAGTTTTTTCAGTGACACTTGGATCGTTCCAGTTTGGTTATCATATCGGATGTGTAAATGCTCCTGGTGAGGTACGGTATCAGTATTACACATGTAAACTTTTAAACTATTGGGCATTCAACTTCTTTCTCATAATGTTTGATTTCCTAATCGAGTTTTCCGCCAACGCATGATAGGAAACCTTAATATCAAAGGTTGTTGCTTCTGTATGTAATGTAATAGTGTAATTAAAATGGGAACTTTTGAGTTGATATTGATTAATTTTAGATGATCACTGCATGGATACAGGAATCGCATCAGAGTTTATTCAATCAAACACTTGGTAAAACTGAAGCTGATCTGACGTGGTGAGTTTTATGTAGAAGACTAGTTGTTAGTTGAACCAGTTGTTAGAAGTATTAGCTGTTAGAAGGCCAGCAGCGAGATATTTTGTGCAGTAATTCCGAGTAAAAAGGAAGATTCCTATAATTTCGAGTGGTTTTCTTCATTATCTACACTTCATATGTTCTAGAGACACATAAACTGTTGAGCGTAACTCTGAAGAACGAGTGCATGTATAGCGCACAGGCTAGGGCCGCTTCATGTTCGTTGGTATGATCCCGAACGTTGAGCGAACCAAGACCTCCATTCCAGTGGTTGAGCACAGTGGTATCAGATTGATAGTGGGTCTATGGGCATTAGAAGCTAATTTGATACATCGGTTGGCACGATAATCGCTAAGTAGGGAAAATATACAAACAATCACCTCTGCGCTGCTACGAATGGAGTCGAATGCGTAACACATCCATGAGAGGTTCATCGACAATGAGCACTTTATTTTCTATTAGCTTCAACTCTGTGATGCAAAATGCCAGTTTCATTTACTGCAATCCAATTTCTTAAGAGTAAGAGTTCTCTAAAATGAATGAAAATGCAGAAGTTTTAGAGGATAAATGGTCAGTGTTCTCTCATTGTGTTATTTTTCAAATACAGTGTAATCTGGAAAGGATTTTGGATTTTTTCAATTTTAATCGTGTTTCGTAATCGTATCGTAGGGAGTAGATACCACAGTGGTAGTGATGTCCGTCATAGCGAGCATGGTGCTAGTTCGAATCCGCTCCGGGCCAACCAAGCCTCTCATCCCTCAGAGGTCGAGAAATTGGTATCAGATTTGTCCCGGAAAAAATCACTGTCTGTAATCTAGTTGGAAACGCTCCAACCCGGCTATCTGAGATCTTCAGGGAGAATTACTCGACCAGCATTCTAGGACATCCAAGATAAAATGAAAATCCTCATCCAGCAACCGAAGGCATGCTTAAAAACTTGGAAGATCTTCGTGGACAATGGATGCGAGAAAACGAATCGAATGTGAGAAGCGTTGGGATCCGTACAGTAAACGTGAAAACGGGTCAAATAAAGCAAAATAAAAAGAAGTAAATCGTTTTTCTACTGTTTGTCATGGAGTATACAGTGGTAGAAATATAATTTGAACAGTTAGTTGCTAGAATATTATTAACTCAATTTGCTGCTTGCCTTGTGTGAATAGTAACCCTTTATATAAAATAACAGCAGCAAAATATTAACGGTGTGACAATACACGAAAGCGTGAAGGATGCAAGAGTGAGTACTGAGAAGGAGAGAACTGGTAGGGAGCGCTGTGGAGAGAACTGTGGAAAGAACCGTGCAAGGAACTCCGGAAAAATTGACGGAGCAGCTTATATTCGTCCTAGAATAGAGAGTTTAGCTAAGTAGTTGAAGATATATTTTGCAGAGATAGTTTGAAGAGATACTTTGAAGCGATGGTTTGAAGAGAGAGTTTGAAGTTCAGATGGCAGAACCTTTTCCTTAGGCAGTGTCATCTGATGCAGCTAATTCAACGCACAGTATTGTAGCCGCGAATGCTTTCGTCAGAAAAAGCGACATATAGTAAGCTCTAAGAATGTTTTTACAGAGAAGTTTGCCTTTTGGAGATGACCAAGCAGTGCGAGTCAAACACATGTTCGACGAAGAATAGTCGATAGAGAAATAATGTGGTGAAATAAATTATTCGATATCTATTGAGAAAGTTCTCTGCATTCATATTAGGCACAGATACCCAATTTCTTACATTCTGTTAATCCTAACTTGCCCTGTTTAGTACTTGAAAGAGTGCTACAGACAAGCCTTTGCGAACTGTTACAATTTCTTTTTAATACTTAGTGCCCGACTTCTAATTTCATACTAAGAGGTGTGTGGTACGACATTTAGTTAACTTGTCGCATGCGCTTTGAATTGATATCATCTCATGCTTGCTGATTTTCTCATTCCTCTACATATGAATCGAAATTATTTTTCATCGAACTCTGAATGTTAGATAGCTGAAGAAGATGAATACATTTCAGAAACTCGTCTCAATTGCAGGAGTGTAGCGGTGTCAATGTTCGCTGTCGGTGGTATGTTTGGTGGCTTGCTGTCTGGTTGGCTGGCCGACAAGGTTGGTCGTCGTGGTGGTCTACTATACAACAATTTGTTCGCCTTCGTCGCTGCTGCAATGATGGGATTGGCAAAGCCAGTAGGCGTCTATCCGCTCATTGTGATCGGGAGATTGTTCATCGGGTTCTATTGTGGTAAGTGATGCTGCGTTTCAATGGGATAACTACAAATTTATGCGCTGTTGGTTTCAAAAGCACCTAAGTACATTTATGGATCATCCTATGAAAAGAACGCTTATTGACTGCTTAACGACAATTAGCAAAATCCATTTTCCACAAGGAGTTTCATAGTGCGCGTACAGAATCGCAGTGACATTGACGAAGTTTCGAAAAAGGCACTTTAGTGAGAAGCTTGGTTTAACGCAAACGAAAAGAGAAACCTGAAAAGCGGAAGTAGGACAGGTGATTTCCTGGTTAGACATTCTACTTAGTACATAAAATATTTGAAGGATTAACATGTATCGTACCTATGTATCTCGCTGAAACGTCACCAACTAATCTTCGTGGTATGCTCGGATCACTGCATCAGTTGCTGGTCACCATTTCAATTTTAACATCTCAGGTTTGTTTTGGTTTATTTTTTCCTTAATTCAGTATGTTTTATTTTACATGATCCGTCAACACATCTATTGTGCGGATCCCAGCGCTTCTTGCATTCGATTCGTTTTCCTCGTATTCATCGTCCACAAAGCTCTTCAAATATTTCGTTTGTTGTTTCGGCTGCTGCTTGAGGATTTCGTCTTCTTTATGAATGTCGCAGAATGCCAGTTGAGTTGATTCTGTTTACAGTCTTGGGGACAGCCGAGCTGGGATAATTTCCACGTGGATTGGAGCAGAGAGCAGGGAAACGGTTGAACCAGGACCTTCCTACCTGATGGGATGAGGAACTAACCACATCTCTGAATAGAAGCTAATGAATTTTATGGTCATGATTCATTTTTTCATAGCCGGTTCCTTTGGTAACTTGATTGCTTTGTCTTTTAGGTAGAAAATACTTACCTTATACTTCTTTTTGAGTTCAGTTTATAAAACGTCTTCTAGTAGGTCATAATTCAGTGGCATTTGTCGTGTACGTCAAATATCAAGAACAGTCTTACCTTTAGGTTCTTGTGCCTTATCCTTGGCTTATAGCTGGCCGTATGTTTGTGAGCAGCTAGGAAAGTCTATATTTGTATTCATCAGGGAGTGTACACCTTCAGAATCGGTAGTGAGTGGTTAGTGATGCAGTAGTTCATCAGGGAAGCAGGGTGCTGGTTTGCCCCCTTTCCTGCACTCTCCTCCAGTTCGCATGAGAACACTGTGGTTTGGTTTTGCCCATGTTTGAAAAGGGAATAGACTGGACCAGCATTCTACGACATTCATAAAGAAGACGAAGTCCTCAAGCAGCAGCTGAAATAATATGAAAAATGTTCGGAGACCTATGTGAACGGTGAATGGGAGGAAAACGAATCGATTGCCAATGCTGGGATCCTCACTGTGGATGTGATGATGGTTCATGTAGCATTGTTATATTATTATTAGATATAATAGATAAGGAAGCAAGAAGGAGGGGAGGATATAAGAACAGTTTCCAAGCAAGTGGAACCGTGAGTAATAATGCAACTCGTATTCTTTTTGGAGTGAACAGAGGTAGTACAATGAAGCCTCAGAGTGTCCCGAGAAATACTAGCCGGTAGTGGTGGAATGGAATGCAGTGTTGAATACAAAACCATAACCTAACCGCAGATTACCCAGAAAATCTGCTCTATGCGCAGAGTTTTTTTTTACGAAAAGAACACAACTGTCTTCGAATAGCTGTTATGTTCCTTTCACATTGCTTATGTTATTGATATAGTGAATGAGGTGGCTATATGTATAAAAGGGAAATATTCTCTTAGATGTATGTAGAGCCTAGTTTCTATAAGATCAATTGAAATCGACAAAACAACAATGGATCTTGTCGATTCTCTAACAACGTGGCTCAGCGTGATTGTATTGAAGTTACATTACTTATTTTTTGTAAAAGAATAACCACTCACTCAATGACTATATCTTTCCGAAGGGTAATGCGTTTTCCCGAGTCAAACGGTTATCCTATATTTTCTGACTCAGAGGTCACTTGTAGAATAATTGGATAGTGCAGCGACTAGTTACTTGAATCGTCGTGGGTGCGTGAGAGTTGCCCTCGTCGACTCTAGAAATTGGATTTGTCTCGCCATGTCAACGAACTGAGCGCTATCTAATATACAAATGTTACCCTTGAGAGACTTTCAGTGAGAGGCGAAAGTATAACTAACAGAGTCGAGTTCCTTTATTATATTATATTTATGTATATGATTTATAAGTCATAATTTCCAGATTCGAGGTCTCAATATGAATGTTGTAGACTAAAAGTACCACACCGTGAAAGCTGGTTGTATCTTCTTATATCTGCCACCTGTGTTGTGTATAAACCATTAACCAGTATAAAAATAGCAAAATATCGAGGTCAACAATTGTACAACGGTTACATGAAGACGAAAAACTGTGTCACGTTGATGATGGAGAACCGAGCTGTTAACAGATGCTTAGTCGACTAGGACCATGCAACAGAACACGAATGATTTCACAAGTGAATGGCGATTTTTGTGTAGATGAACAGAGGTTATTGTAAGGGTCTTGGCTCATTGGTAGCCGGTGTTTTTTAACTACATATATTAACGTACAAAGATATTGCAGAGCGCTATGGTTTCTACAAGTATGCAAATGCTAATATTCGAAGGCATTACAGCACACTGTTCAGCCAGGTGCAAATCAAGTACATGAGCCGTCTGTTAGGATCCAATATACTGATAATGCAAGGAAGTGCATTAGGAGATTGAGAAAATCCGATATTTTATGTGGAGTGTTCTTTATAATAGCCTTCTCTGAGGAAAATGATGCTGAATGTTATTAGTCATCTTAAACAAAACTCTGCTGTTAATTAAAATAACCATTAATATTTTTTTTTCCAGTGAAGCATGAGTTTGTTCATGCCGATAGCGTACAAGTATGAAACCCTGGAAAAGCGAATTCTGCTAAGGTAGGAGGGTTCATCAGCGGCCTGGTTGTAGAAGTTTAGTTGTCTAGGTGCTCGAAAAGGTGACAGTTAGGTAAACGGAAATTTCGTGAATTTACGAAGTGTTTAAGAGCTTCATTTCGGTCCATTCATTATGCTGACCGTTGTCAATTGTTTTTGGGACTCACTTCTATCGTAGTTCGCATTGCTATCGAGAATATGGTCGTTTTTGTTATGTGAAAGAAGAAAATTTTTTAAGGTGTTCTCATCGCAATTCGTTCAGTTCACGCGGCGCTGAGTTTTTTCAGTTGTGTAATATGAAGACCGATCGAATGTTGAATGGCTAACGTTTACTTCTTTAACGTCTGGAATAGTTTTTTGAAGAGGTGTTTTCGAACATCGGCTCCAGACAGTCGTCTATAACTACTCATTTTTAAAAGTCACTTTTGTGGTACTGAACAATTTGAGCAGAGGGGCACTGATCTTAATCTTTTTATTTGCAGCCTATTCTTTCTAACGGCAGGGTATGTTGCGAAATATAACTTCTGTAATGCTGAGATATTTACAAAACTCCGAACCACAGTGTCCGTTTGAAATGCAGACACCTGCGGTTCGGAGTTTTGCAAATATCTCAGCGTTACAGAAGGGTACTGAATTTTTCGAAATGTACGTTTGTAGGAGCTTTCCTAACCCCGTGCTTTGATGGAATCTTTAGTTATTTCCCCGTACAGAGTTTCAAAATTTGAACCCATCAGGTGAATCGATATGATTTTCGCTCCTTAGAGTCTAAAAAAGCACCAATTCATTAAGTATAAGGGCACAGTAGTTTGCTTAGGTTTCAAGACAACAAGGAAGAACAGAACAAGAAAAAGGAAAACAGGAAGAAATAGGTTTTGAAATGGCTCACAGCAGCAATGTACTCAATTATCAGTTGTTTATTATAAGATGTTTTCGTAAGGTATCTAACGATTTGAGCGTTCAATACTCACTATTCACACTCATAATACATGAAAGTATACCTCGTCATCGTGATTGTTTGGTAGTGAGTGGTAGTTTTCGTCGAATTTACAAGTTTGTTTAGCAACGTGATTGCAGATATTTGGCTTGCCGTACATTTTGGGTAACGAAAAGCGATGGCCGCTGATTTTTGCTTTCACTGTCGTGCCGGCAGTCATACAAGTCTTAACATTGCCACTGATTCCTGAATCACCAAAATACACGCTCTGTGTCCGAGGACAACCCGATAAGGCTGCCAAGGATCTGAAAAAACTTAGGGGAACGGAAGATGTAAGTTTTTTTTTGAAGAAGCTAAGTAGACGTTAGTTTGTTCCTTCTCGAGTATGGTTCTCAGTTTCCAGCTCATTTTTCATTATTGCACTGTATTGTACTATTATCATGTGTTGGCGTACCATGAAGTCACAGAAGAAAGTCATATTCTTCGAATGTTACTTCTATAACTAACTACCACTGTGGTCTAGGCGTATTATGGATGAAAGCTCAGAAAGTGACTAACTTGAAAGAAGAACGAGCGGTTGCAGTTAATTGTATTCATCGTTTCCAACTCTTCTTATAGAATTACTTCTAGATTTGATGATGTCATAATTGAGAGTGGTATGAGACTGTTCGGAAAAACAGTGCAAGTAACCATTTTTTAGACATTTCGTAAGTGTTAGCATATTTAAGGCTGTACGTACTGGTTTCAGCGCGTGTATTGGTGCAGATTAGACAAAATTAACTGATTTGATCGAATCTATTCGCGGTTGTAGCTGAGCAAAATTTTTTCCTCTCAACTTTTATAATCATTCGATTGCTTCCTCACCATAGATCTCATCCCGGGCATGAACCAATGGGACCTATTTTTTTCATATATCGAAAATTAAGTAAAACTGTTGCGGGTGCGAGTTTGCTTGTCTCGCAGTAGATACTGTTGTTGATGAGGAGGCCATTGAGAGCTGTTCTGTAGCCAGCGTATCACAGATGGCCGCAAGGACACGTCTACCGTTATGAATCACATATGACGAGGTTATTTTCAGTTGTTTCTTTTGAGGAGTAAACAGTTGTTCGATACCTCGTGTACTAAATTTGTAGCTTCCACATCCAGGTATGAGCTGAGAAAGGCTGTTTTATGCATTGTAATTTACAAGAATAAGGCGCAGAAAGAGCAATGATTGGTCTTTTGATCGCATCGTCGCTGGTTTGACTCAGCTCCGACCCAGTCAACCCTCCTATTCTTCGGCAAGAGACATTGATACCAGATTCGTTTGGGAAAAGTGACGATTAAGATCTTAACTATTGCCAAGAGGCAACACCTCCTTCCGTGGTGAAGGCCCTGGAACGCTGTAGTAGGCTAATCCCAGTACTCATTGGAGAATCAACTTTACTTGCACTCATTGACATTCATGAAAAAGATAATATTCTCCAGTGGTAGACGAACGAGCACGTAAATCCGAGAATATTTGTGGATAAGGGGTCTGGGACAACGAACTGATTTTAAAAAGTGATGGAATCTGCAGAATCAATGAAGTTCGGTCATATAATTAAAGAAACAAGTAATTTTAAAAAATATCGATAGGTAGTAGTTTATCGATCTGTGGAGTCTCCGGGAGAATCCCCTGCCTGCTGTATTTGTAAGATGCCACAGGGACTGTTGCTAATGAGAAGAGTAATGTCCTTGTTGCATAAATAGTAATGCATGAGTTCTGCCGCGATCCCATCCCTTTTGCTCCAGTAGAATAGCATTGATTACTGTTACTATGGCGAATACTTAATGTAACTGCCTAAAGGAAGCAATGTGGAAAATATTTGATATAACTGTCTAAAGGGGGTAGGAGAAACCATTCTGCTTCTTGAATACGGCAAAATAACGTCATAGCACATGTACAGACACTGAGTTGATTCTGTTACTGTCGATTTTTCTTCGAGTCTACACATACTGAAAGATATTTTTTGATACGTGGCGTATCTTTTGGTTTCTAGTTGTCAAATTGTCATTGCAAATAATTTTTAGGTGAGCGCCGAGATGAATATGTTCCGCGAAGAAGCGGCAGCTAGTGGCTCAGCTGCTCAAGAACGCCCGTCCATGCTGGATATGTTCCATGGATCACTGTTATGGCCAATGACGATCGCAATTATGATGATGCTTGCTCAGCAGTTGTCTGGTACTTAAGTCATTCATTATATGCTATCTTTATTAAAATTTCATTTGATGGTTCTCTTTCTTTTCCTCGCAGCTATTGCAAAAGGTACGGTATATTTCAGTGCATCCTATATTAATAAGTTTTTTTTTTATGGTAATGAGCTTTTAAAGGTGTATGAGAACATGTATTACTGCTTAGAAATGTTTTCAGCAATATTTATGCCTAAAAGAAGTAATTTTTTCCACCACCTTGCCGTAGTCATTTCTTATTGAACCCCTTGCAGTTATATTCACAATTTTAACTTATTATTTACTGCCTACTCTTTTTAACGGGAGGGTATATATTGCGAAATATAACTTTAATGGTGCTGAGATATTTGCAAAACTCTGGACCGCAGGTGTCTGTGGTGGGGATCAAACGTGCTATTGTCCTTTCCGAGGGAGTAACGCGTTCACCACCAAACCATGCAGGTCCTTTGTTTCGCTTGTCTCTCAGCTAGTTCTATCGATCTTTTGTCATCAGCAATCACCCGTCAGCGGGATTGATCTGAGGAGCCCAAATCGGCATTGAACAAAACGAACGAACAAACGAAAAACCGGCGTAGTGTGGTGGTGAACGCGTGACTCCCCAGAAAGGACAATAGCGCGTTCGTTTCCCACCGCAGACACCTGCGGCCTGGAGTTTTGCAAATATCTCAGCATCATTAAAGTTATATCCCCTTGCAGTATTTTTTTCTACAAGTTTATTGTGTCGAATATGAATAGAGAGAAACTGAATTGCTGGCCTAATGCCTGTTTTAGGTATCAACGTGGCGATGTTCTACTCTACGGTGATCTTCAAACAGGCTGGTTTAAGTAATGAAGGTGCTGTCTATGCCACAATTGGTATGGGTACGGTCAATGTGATCATGACAGTCGTTTCTGTGTGGTTGGTAGGTTTTATTTTTTTCTTCAATGCTTTATAACGTTGCATACAAGTTAATGGAAAAGAATTATCTTCATTGTAGTCAAGTTCTGAAGCGATCCAGGAGAGCTAATAGGTTTTAATTCTCTTCGTGAATAGTTTTCTAATATTTTTAGGGTTTTTTGCTGGTTGAAGTAGGACTTATTAGCTTCTGTGTAATTCGCTATTGCTGATAAATTTCACCGGAGTCCTTTAAGGGTTCAAATTATTCGTTAAGAAGTTGTACTGAAAGCACAGCATTTAGTAGTTTTGCGTACTACGAATTTAGGCCAGTTGCCTGCCTACTGGTTTCGTTCCTCAATCAAATGTGCCTTTCCAGGTAGATCATCCGAAATTCGGTCGTCGTTCTTTGCTTTTGATGGGGATGATCGGAATGTGGATATCGACGATTCTGCTAGTGGCTGCTCTTTCACTGACTGCGCGCGGTCATCAATGGGCGAGCTATGGAGCGATAGTCTTCGTTCTTTTGTTCGTCATATCCTTTGCCACTGGACCAGGTGTGTGTGTAATCCGATGTTCTGTTCTCATTGTGTTCATAAGTGGTGATAAGGATAAAGCGTTTTGCGCTGATGAATCCCTGAAGGGTGCGCCATGTATTCCACTTCACTAAGTATAGTTATGGATGATTTGCTGCTATCTCCGAGACAACTCTTCTACTAATTTGTCAACTCTAAAAGGATGCAAGATTTGACAGTCTCGTGGTAAGGGATCGAACTAACGATCAGGTATTTATGGCAAGGAACCTCTAATCATTACACGAGCCTTTCTACTAGCTGCTGTGCAAATGATTAAATGGCGTATTTTTGTCACTTAGTATTGCTGTAGATCCAATGTTTCAAGTACATAGCTTTTTCTTATGAAGGGAAATTTGTAAGTGATCATAATGGATAGTCAAATTATTCCTAGTTTTGGATGTTTGGTTGTTCCCATTCGTTTTATTTATATTTGTGTCCTCTACAATTCTGATTTTCTTAATCTTATCTTCGTGCGAAAAAAAAACCACTGCTGCTTTATTATTAACGGTTGGAGTTTGACGCCTAGATTGGCGTGCCCGACGCATCTGTTTGCAGCCTAATTCTAGGCGAACTCGCTGTGAGTGAAATTCCACTCTTCCCGGTAGCCGTGTTAACAATGTGCTTATAGTTGCAGATTGATGGCTAGTGTAGTTCTGAATTTTCTAAAGAAATGAGCTTTTTTAGTAGATTTCTAGTTGTGTTCAGTTGCTATTGATGGTGTTAGTGTTTTCTTATGTTTTCAGGTTCAATTCCGTGGTTTTTCGTATCCGAGATATTCGCGTCGAGTGCTCGTGGCAATGCGAATTCAATTGCTGTTATGGTGAACTGGACTGCGAACTTGATTGTTGGACTCACATTCCTTTCACTTAACGTAAGTATCATTGTAATGTACCTAATGATTCCATGTAGACTTTACAACATAGGAATTCATGATTTCAAATATTTCGAGTTTTTATTAGGCCGTCATTAATTAAATCAAACGTAATGGTTTCTTATGATCTTTACAGTTTACGGATTCAAATATCATGTGATTTTTGTCAGGTTATTTTAGATTTTTACTCTAACGTGATTCCACTTGTTCGATGTGGGACTGTATAGTCGAATTTTTTCCTCAAAAGTTCTGTGTTTAGAACGCCCTTGCACAGTACTCGTTTCTCGTTTTCACCGGATTCCTCTCTTTCTTCATCTTCTTCACTCATCGTTTCGTACCAGAGACAAAAGGGAAAACGGTTGAGCAAATCACTGCGTCATTTGATAGACGGATACGTTAAGGTATTTTGGATTCGTTTTGCAAAACTAATGTTTTGGCCCTCGCGTATACATCGTGGTATGCGTTTGAAGTCCTTTTAACCCTTTTTTTTTAAATGCATTGAGTAGTTTTTTGCCAGATATCCCTTAAAAAGCATGAGCTTTAAATTATACAGGCTCACAACGAATGCTTCTGCCATTATTTTGAACCAAGTGTCTAAATGAGTACATTGCATATGTTTTTAATATTTTGCCAGTATTCTGTGGAACGTCGAATGTTCTTAATTGTTCGTGTATGGTTCGCCGTTATACTATACTTGTATCACAAGTTTTATCGCATTGTTCAAGTTTTATCACTTGAGCAATATTTGTCCCATACTTTATCCAATTCGCAAGTTTTGTATATTCCACTAGTCATTGTAGAATATCAGTAGGAAGGTAGTAAAGGTGTTTCTGAACAAACTGTGCTTATATCATCATTAACTGTTTTAGGTTAATCAGATTTCAATAATGAAATAAGACTACTCAGATGTTGCTTTATCAGTAGACAATGAAAAACTCCAAAGTTATCGAATAATTGCGATAGAATCAGATTGTCTACTTTATTTTTGAACAGTTAGGGTTTTCATAGTGTCGAACACACTAAGCACTCAGATCATTTACTTGGGTGTTTGGAAAAATACAGAATTTCAATAACTAATCTAATTCTTTCGTGTTCTTCCAATATTGTCGTGCTGTACTGAGTTTGAGAGTCGATGTGATGTTCTGAGATCACAAAGTGCGATATCATCCTTAAGGTGGACCTAAGAAAAATTTCGATGTTTTCGTTCGGAAGGCCAGCTAACTGTCAACTTATACCAGGAATCGTTGCCGTTCTCTAAGAAATCTGCTCACGTGGAAGTCGACCTCGGTCCGATCCAAAAAAATCTGCGACTATTTCTGCTTACGATCAGGAAGGACCTTCAATCACGGCTTCCTACGTACCTCAAGGAAAAATCTGCCCAAACTAAAAGCACGCTTGGGATGGAAATGTTCTGGAAACAGCAGAATTTCTTCTGAATAAGGGTTTTAAGCGTTAAAATATTTAACTCAAAATTTTCACTATTCTCTCCACGAAGTAGTCGTCGAAGAAGTGGGTACAGTTTTTCGTGTTTTGAATCAAATATGGGATTTCGGTGCACTAAAATCCAAAAATTTGGACTAAGTAGAGAAATACGAGGGAAGGAAAGGTAGTCAAGTATTTTTCTAAGTCGTTCGTAATATGTACAGTGGTGCTCGCTTTAAGTCCAATAAGGGCCAGGTGGCACAATGACAATGAACCCGTTCAATGCGTTCTATGCCATGGTAGGATTCCGCACTAGGCCATCTAAGCATTTCATCCCTCCTGGCTTAAAGAGTTGGTACTGGACTTACCTCGAAAGCTCCATTTGGTCCGCTAGACCTAAAAACGTCGAAGCACAGCTATCGCAGAATTGGCTTTCGGATAAGTGGAGTCGTGCTAACCAGCATTCAACGACATTCGTAAATCATAAAATAAGCCCAAGCACTGCGGAACGCCACAGGTCCATTTGATTACATTCGTGGGTGGTCGATGCGAGGAAACGAGTTGAATGTAAGAAGGGCTAGAATTTCCATAGTAGATATGAAGACAGGTCGTGTAAACGAAATGGTAAATAATTATCGCTTGGAATGAAATTTACCATTAGGGCTTGAGATCTTATCTAATATCCTGGTGGGCTGTCCTATCAATTTCAAATTTACTCGTCACCAATTTGGTAGGTCTCATTTCTCAACTTGTGGTAGCAATCGACGGTGATGATATTCTGGTCAGCAACACATGAGAGTCGTTCCGCCCATAGAAAGGACGTCAACGAAACGAAGTCAACAAATCTCTCCCAGAACGCGAACAGTGGAGATATTGTGGCATCGACACAAAGTGATACCAAAGAACGAGGAGAAGAACATGAGAAAACAACACGGAAAGTGACTAGTCGGTTGTTAACAGCAAAACGCAGTAATGAAGCACGTATATTGCCGAAAAACCCAGCACAACGGAAAGTGGCGATTCAGTTATTAACACAAACTGACGGTAGAGAACAACTGGAAGAGAAATTATGCATATCGTCGAAAAGCTCAACGATAGCACCACTCGGCACTAAGGTATGAACATCCTTTTATGTCTGTTTCTACATATTTATGAGTATATCTGAGTTTCGAGGTTTTTTCCATATCACTGTACAAAATCGATATAAATTCAATTCGCTCCTCCAAGCATTATTCGGGGCATACGGTATTACTGACATTGTCCTTTAATGTGAGTGAAACCGAAGCGCCGCTGAATTGGCGCCTTATTAGATCCTTATGGACCTCAGAAATTCTGGAAAAGCAACATTGATAATATCGTAAATAACAAGAGTAACAGATTTTCGTCATTGTCCTCAGTCTGTACGCCTCTAGGTCGACATCGTGACGTTGCACACGATGAAACAACTTTATATGATCGCTCTTTTGGAATTCATTCTATCTGTTTTGAAAACCGACTTTCTTTTACTCTCAGCGTGAATAAACAGTATCATTTGGTTATATCACACGAGGTTGTTACAATTCTTCATTGTGGTTGAATCCCGGCGCCATGAAAACAACACGACGGTTTGGATGATGTTGCACGACAACAGCTGCTGTAAAAGTGGCACAACTGAGTGAGGTTATCCATTAGAGCAATGCTCCAATTCAGTAGATTTGACTCGATCCGATGACGAAGATCCGTATCGTAGGATGAACGGATGTGAGCAATCGACACAAATCATCGGGCCTCTGAAGAAAGTGAAGGCGCTGGAACGTTATCCACAATAAAATTTTGTAGAAATGTAATGTAATTTTAATCATCCAAGAGACATTTCTTTTATGTTATCCGGCTTCGCAAATTGTGTCTTTCGCAGCATTTCTTTCGTTCGGTTCGCTATATCAAATTCGTCGTCCACGAAGCTTTAGGATTTACATGTTTGTCTGATTGCTGCTTAAGGATTAGGTCTTCTTCACGTGTAGCGTTTAGTGTTGTTTGAATTGATCTTTTATGGAACCTTGGAAAATGTAGTTACTAATTCGTTGAGAGTTTAGTTCGGAACTTCAAACTTAGGTGAGTAAGCCTTCATGCATAAACGTCATTAGTACAACAATGGGAATAACGAGGCCAATACGAAGAAATTATATGAAGTGGAAGCAGTTACACTGATAGTAAGGAAGGTTGGTACAATGGATCGATTTAGTGGCATGAAGGATGAAAGGCGTATACATACAAAAATTGTCTTACTAAAGGTGGTTATGGCTAAGTGGAAACGTAACAGGATGAGAAAAGGAAAAGTTCTCTAAGTCATTAGTAATCCTTCATACGGTCTTCTAGTGAGCGGTTTTATAAAGCCATGCCGTTTATACGATGTGAATGGGGCGTTTCTACCTTTGGACAAAGATGAACGGTGCAAAATTATTAAGTTATTGATACGTAGCGATCAAGGCTGAAATTGCAAGTGAAATGACTTTCTAATACACTAAGTGACAATAATGGACAAGGCAAATGCAGCAATATGCAAATAACATAAGAAACATATAAAAGTATTAGACTCAAAAGAACAGCCTCTATGAGATAGCTCTACTAGACCGCTCCTAGGTTTTAACCGCACAGGTTGAGCAGCACACACACACACACACACACACACACACACGATTTTCTCAGACAAATCTGGCACCAATCTTTCCATCCTAGAGGTATGAAAGGGTTGGTTAGCCCGGTATGAAATCGAACCAGTGACTGTGTGTATGTTGTTACACGACATTTTTAGCCATGGCTTATGCCGGATCAATTCTTTGGAACAGATACTAAGTACTACTATATCTAAATATGACGTCGAGTCGAACAATCATATATTGTCAATGGAATGGTGGGCATCACTGAGCAATTCACTAAGAAAACAACGTCGAAACGACTCCACAGAAAGCTTCCTTGAAAGTCCGCAAGAACATTAAGCATTATGAGGAAGATACTGGGATTATAATATTTACATAACTCTTTCTACGAAATGCACACTGTGTAGTGTTGACAGGTAAACGTGAATTGAAGAATCAGCCACAATACGAGGCTTTAGTGTGAAAGAAAATGTGTTTTTCGGAGATTTCACCTTCCTCAGAGCCGTCATGTTACTAGTGGGTCTGTATGAAGACGTATACCAACCTCGTATCAGCTAAAGAAGATCAGTTTATACTTACCTTGGTACTTGATCGGCCCGTCTTCATTGGCTGTGCGGGCTCCAGCATAATCACCATTTTTCGGGGACTTGCTGGTTAAGCCACTGTGGTTCCATGGAGTCCTGAGGACAGCCTGGCCAAAGTCTGTCCCAGATCGTCACCATAACAGGCAGCTTTGTGGATCAGAGGGATATTTACCACCATGCGACTTTGGTATCAAGAAGGTGGTGGAACCTGGTATTGATTTACTCTTAGCTAACCTTCCTGATGGAAACGCCAAACTCCTCAGCTTGGGAGACCCCGCCGTGGAGACGAATCCCCCGCTGTACAACGCAGTCCGACACCCAAGAACACCTTCCATTCACGATGAGGCGGTAAGCCGATGGGAGGAGATCAGTTTATAAGATCATATAGATATCTAAGTCAAGTTTTTAGTATTTCTAGATAATCCTGTTGCGCAAACACGAGGTGTTACTTTATTCTTTGTTCCGTTTAAGCTGACGTTCCGGCAGTATTGGCTTCTTCAGAGCCTGAAAGGGTTTATTGATGTATAATTTACTACGCCAAACACTTCAGTGGCATAAACAGAAAGATGAAAATTTGAATGGTAATCACACGATCAACTTCTGGAAAACCCCACCGTTTCTCTAAAGCACCTTTCACTGAGGAAGGACAGCTAATTAGAGTCGCATATGGTTGATGACTGCACCACTCCACATCGAAGACCTATGCGAAGGTACGGGTGTGATCTCTGGGCATTCGTCCTAGCTATTCATTCTAGGGT